TTGTGGTTGTCTGTTCTTTTATTTGATTCATGTGTCGCGTGCCATTGCAGAAAGTTATAAAGTGGTCGGGTTCAAGCTTTCAAAAACAAGCTTTTCTGTCAAATAACAGATTATTTCTGCCCTGTTTTGATCAATCCTGTTTTTATGTGGCAGTGAGGGAAGGTATAGAGGAAGCCAGACAAAACTACAGCTCAGCTAAAGTGGTTTTACACCCTCACAGAGACATTGAGACAAGACTCTACAATTAAGTAAACTCTTGAGTTCTTTGTGGTCTGGATGGGACTCAAAAAAGAGGACTGTCAGGTCACCCGAAGTGACCTTCCGAAGCAAAGTTTGTTTTGAATTCAAAGCTTATCACACTCAAAAGAGTTCCTCACGTCTCTTCTGGCCTGGATTACCGGGACACTTTCCAGCTGTCTTTGTGCACCTCAGCTGAAAAGAGCTAAAGTATTAATTGGCCTTTTGCTCATTGAGTAAATCAGCAGACCACTGAGCGCTCAGATGGAATGAAAAGCAAAAAGACAGCAAGTCTCTGCAAGGCTGTGGTTGAGGGGCCATACATACATTTGGGTGGAGCCTTGTACAAATGGTACCAGTGAGTTTATATATTACTGCTGGGTGTTTGACTGAAGAAACCTGAGTCACGTGACTTGCTTACGGGAACAACAGCACTGCCCCCATGAAGAATATGAACCACAAGTCCAGCTACAGGTCTAGAGCCCTAACAACTGTACCACACTGCTGTTAGGCTCCATAGTTCAGGCCACTGATTCAGAGATTCAGACCCCTCTCAACTATTCTATTTACTGTAATTCCAGGACCCTGCTGTCTTTAATCCACTGTCCCCTGACTGATTTATGTCCCCCTCCACCTGCTCCACACTGTGCCAATACACCCAGACATGGTCAGTACATGCAGGGTCCTAAACACTAGTTTAGTCTCCCTTACTGCTTCTCAGCCTGGCACTCCCAAAACAATTGCTTTATTAGAATTGCATTAAGGTTATTTTTTTATGTACACTTGTGCACAGACTGTGCAACAGCAAGATTCCCAAATTTGGAAAGGACATATTTCAGCAGTGGAAAGCACTTCCAAAATATGTGGCCTGCCCTCTATCAACACGATCTCAGTCCATTCTGTACTCCAGCGTTGCATTTCTCCTAACTTATTATTATTATTATTATTATACAGTATATGGTACAGCCTGTGCTGACAATGAGTTGCAATTTTCTGACCTCATCAGCACAATGCGTATTGGCACTATACATATTTGCCAGCCCTGAATACTAAATAGTCAGTTTTCTTTGGCCAAACCTCTGTCCACTTACCGTAGAACTTTACAGCTGGGCCTTGTTTGGGACAAGTCAGATCAAACATTCTGAGATGGCTACAGAAATTTTTCTCCAGAATATTGTTTTATAGCCTTGATGGCTCTAAAATGACAAGGCTCTTGGTTACCTCAGGCCCTTTAATTTTGTTTTTAATCCTCAATGAAAAGTCAGCTTGTTTTTTGTTGTCCAGTTCTTCAAAGCCACGAAGATCTGTTTTACTATCTGCTCTGTGAACCGTATTTCTTTGGATGAGCAGGTAAGTCGTTAAACCTAATGCAGCATGCACAAAGGAACAAGAAGTGGCCGCCATGGGGTTTTGGGTCTGGAATCACCTCATTCTACAGCAGGTAATAATGTTAATGTTCAGCATGGAACTGTGGGACACAAACTAGAAAACATGCCTTATTTCTACATAAACTGATTCAGACCGACATCGATTATGTGTTTGTCGAATCAGATTTCCCCAAACTTGTCAAAATTCTCCCCAAAATGTCAGTGAGATCTGCCAAAATTATATTAAAAATGACAACTTCATTGCATTGACACCCCTCTTCTACAATGTCAGCTTCGCTTTGCTCGTTGAGGACCAGAATTCCAGCCACATGGGTCTTACTTTGATCTGTCGTGACATGCCAGTAGAAAAAGCGGAGAGGTGTAGCAGGTGATCCACTGGGAGGGTGGGGTTCCTTATATTTCTCATTATAGTTCTCATCCAGAAGTCTAACCAGATTTTATCATCAAACCAAATGGTGCAAATCGTATGGCTTCAGTGTGCCTATGGAAAGTTCCAACGGACGTATAGCAGAAATCTTTTTATCATCTTAAGGAAATAAGCAATGAGCTTTTAAAAAATAGTCTTTTCCAAAAGGACAAAGCGCAATACGTCTCAGTTACTTTTTCAGGGTGACATGTAATGAGTCTGAGCCAGAAATGGAGCTTGAGCATGGAGTTCTGTTACACAACCCTTGGTCTAATGACCCCTGATCATCCAGACACACACACACACAGTGGATAACTAGTCAGAGTGCATTAGGATACATAATTAATCCTTTTGCCTCTTTTGTGGTGCTTCTCGTTTCTCAATGGGACAGACCATTTCAGTCAAAATCTCTTGAAAACATCTCCATTCACACTAAGAGGTTACTTCCTGGCCTTAGAAGCGTGCCTGAGCTCAGCAAAACCGATTGGATTACAGTCATTTTGAGTTTATATATTTTTTTTCTCCATACCTGTGTGAAGGTCACATTTGCCTTGGCTGTAATGAAATATCTCAATGCTGCCATCCAAGATCAATGATGTAATTCCCAGTCACATATCAAACTTCCTTCCAAAAAGCTGGATGTTCTCAGTGCTAGACATGGAGAGTAGCCCAGCAGAATTAATCCGGCATGTTACAAAAACAAAAATCTCCCCTTTGAATTGTTTGTACTGTATGTTCCTCTCATTTATGTTGTTTTCCCTCTATTGGATGCAAGGAAAGATTTTGCAGAGGAAACCTTTGAAAGACTGCTGCACATACAGTAAACTTAGTTTCTGGCATATTTAAAAATTGTTCAGGGAATCAAAAAAGAACTTGTCTACTATAAGTTAAAATTCAAAGAGAGTTTCAGTATTTTTTAAGGAGCAGCCTTGTAAAATTCCCGAATGACATTTGAATCGTTCACAAAGATGTGAAGACCTGTAGCCAGTTAGATAGTGGCTATGATACCATCGAACGTTTGAAGAAGATACAGTGTCAATGCTGGTCTGAATAATCCTAGCATCAGGAAAGAAGGGAGCACTCCAGTCATGCCCCTGCACTCCTGAGTCCAGAAAAATGCTCAAACCTGTGTCTGGGGCAAGATGCCTTGCATCTAGGAGTCCAACTGTAGGTTAGGTCCCCTTTCAGGCCATCAAGGCCCATGAGGAATGGGGGGCAAGGGCCATTGACCATGCAACACATGAAGTGGAGGTGATATGGTCTCAAATCACGCTCCGGCCAGCCTAATACCCCCGGAAGGATTAACTCCCAGGACTCACTTGGAAAGCAGGCTGAGTGGACCTGGGAGCCATCTAGAAGGAATTAGAGCAACCTACATCACTTTCTCCTATCTGTATTTGAACCCAGGACCTTCCGGTCAGGAGCTAGATGCCCCTGCCAGTCCAACTGTAGCCCCTACCTATAGTACACCCCTATGACCTTGTGTCCCAAAGATGAGGATTCTAATTAGCTCTGTAAGGGATGGTTAAGACTTTTCACCTCCATCACTTATATTTCCATCTAGAATGGCATTTCAGCTTTAAAGATTATTAGTGCAACCCCTTGTCATTTACTTATTCCAAGCTGGCATGATAAGTTAGCTATCTATTCTTTTGTTCCTGTACTAGGTCATTTGTAACAAATCCTGTTTCTTTTTAAAGGATAATAATTGGAACTATTAAACATTTTGTTCTGAAATTCTCAATTTGAATATTTCCATCCTTGGCTTTTGAGCCATTTGCTATGGAGATACCACAATATCCTGTGTATTTGCTCAATCAAATGACTGTGATGGAAGAGATATAATGGGGGTGTTTCCAATAGATTCACAATAGGACAAGTAAAATTCAATTTAGTTTTATTAAGCTCCTTTAATAAGCAGATCCTCTTTTTGAATAAATGGAAATGAAATAATGTTAATAAAAACTATGCCAAAATGAAATCTGACAGTATGGTATTTGCACAGGAGGTCATAGTGACCCTGAAACCATGAAACTTTGAAAGTCTTATTATCCACAGGAAGTTTTTATAATGTTTATTTAGAACTTTGATTTGGGAGGTGACATAGTACATCAAATACAGTGTCTTTTGTTCTCAGTTGGTCAGTCCTTGTGCAAATCACAATGAGATCAGTCAGAATTCACCCGTGTCCCTGCTTTGCATAACCTTTTTCTTTTTTTCTATAAACAACGCAGACTGAAATACAAGCTGAATTCAAAACAGCTTTCGTGTTGCAAAGCTTAATTGCAAAAAAAGTACAGGTTGTGATTAATGAATATACTTTGCCATATCGAGAATATGGCCACAAGTTTCACCATCGATTTAATCATTCCAGTGGTGGCAACAGAGAGGCAATAGCTTGGTAATAAAGGCTCAAACAAAATAGGTGAAGAAATTAATTCTGAATTAATAGATTCATTAATTCAGATGTTAGTCACATCCTGCCTTGTTGGTCTAATTCTAGTTCTTTATTTCTTGGGAGGAATGATTCAGTAATTAACAGGCCAATAGGACTATGATTTAAAAACAATGAATTCTGTTGTAAACGTTCCTCACAGTTCCAAAGTACAGTCAGGTCCCTTTCCCAGTTATACTGGTTTGATGTCCAGTCAGATTCCTCATGGAAGCATGGCTTAAGCCTTACACATACTACACTCCCTTCTTGTGAGTAGACCGGCTTGTCAGTAATAATTTGATTCATTTCACTATATTAAATCGTGCATTAATCATGTCACTTTGGTCTCTTTGCTCAGGTTGATTTGCAGTGTGGGACTAACTGATAATAAATGTGTGATTGATTATCCCACAATTACGCTAACTGTGTGGATGGAGTCTCCTAGCGCCACCTCTCTTTCACTGTGTTCCGTTGAGGGCCTGAGCCCAAGACATTGGCTGCACATGGTTTGATTTGGCTCCAAGCAGATCCAAGT